AGCACCCTGGTCCAGTGGGGTTACCCTACCCCACCCTCCTCACCCCGTTACCTCCAAGCCCCCAATTCCAGCTGCCACACCACCCACAGTGGCAGCATTGGTCCGGATGTCATACAGAAGCTGGCTGAAACAACCCTTGGGGGAGAGGGGAGAGCATCCACAGTCAGCCGCTGCACCCCTCCCTCATTCAGCACTTTGTGGCCATTAAAGCAACCCCAACCTTCCATACCACACCTGTACAGTCTTGTCCTTAGCCTTCTCCTCAGTGCAGTGTTCTACAGCTGTGCCATTGCCGTTGTCAGCACAGCAGTACGGGGGAAAGGTATGGTTCTTCATGAAGTAGGGCGAGCCCTCAAAATCTGTGTAGTTGTTGAAGCCACAGCACTTGAGCTGAAGAGGAGGAGGGAAGGGTGGTCAGTGGGGCCTTGCCTCTTTCTCCCCACCCCAAAATGTCCCCCAGCCCACCTTACCCCTTCCATGGTGGTGTTCCACACTTGGGTGAAGTCCTTCTGGGAACCGTAGTCTTGCTTGATGGCGGGCACTACCAGCAACGTCAGGAAGTGCTCAGCCTGGGTGGGGCAGGCTGGTGCTCAGGGCCCTGGGGGCCACAGCCCACTTGCAGGGCTCTTACCCGTCTTTCCCCCTTGCCCCGTCCCCTGCTCCTCACCATGGTGGTATACACCAGGGCGACCACAGCAGCTGCCACCTCCGCGATGAAGATGAGGAGGAGGATCAGGAAGAACTGAATGGGGACCAGAGGTCTGAGTTTGGAAAGAGGCGGTCCCTTGTGCCTTACCTATTGCAACCCACCACCCAGTATGGCAAGGCAGCGGCCCCCTCTGCCGAGGGCCCTGGAGTCCAGAGCATGGCTTCGGGATCTCCAGGGCCTGGATTCAAGGGTGAGGGGACCTTGGGTCTTAGTTATGGGCCCGGGGAGCTGGGTTTGACACACCATCATGAGGGCACACTTGTTCTCAGTCTGAGCACCGTAGCAGCCCAGGAAACCGAGAGCGAAGAGCACAGCACCGGCAGCGATGAGGAAGTAGCCCACGTTGACGAACTGCATGGCACTGGACGACAGCGGCCCGAAGATCTTCAGGAAAGACGACCCGTCGATCGACACCCAGATGCCCACGGCCAACAGGGCGACACCACATAGCTGGGGACGGAGAGGCAGGCCTTAAAACGGTGTGGGCAAGCAGCTCCTTACCACTCATTTGAGATAGGAAGATGGAAAACGAGAAATTTCTCCCTTTATTGGCTAAGGAGTCTAAAAACTCATCCTGTAGGGAGGAAAAACATTCTGTAGAGCCAGAAGGATGGGAGCTGGGCCACCCAAAGCCAGCACCAGGCTGCACACCAATGCAGATATAAATGGAATCGTGGGTTCTAGAAATATCCACAGAATGGGGGAGGGCAAGGCAAGACTTTCCCTCACTGCTGTCAGGGTACTGCTGCATAGCTAGGAGTGAATACAAGTGGGTGAGGCCAGCTGGGGGGTGAAGGGGGCCCTACCCAATTTCCTTGCTGAGCTGACTGCCTCCGTTCTGGGACAGGTGAAACAGTAGGGTGGAAGCCACAACAGGCTCAACAGTCACCATAGCAACAGAGGCGGAGCTGAGGTTTACACCTGCTACCAACCCTGGAGGGGGACTCAGCGAGAAGGGACACCTACCTTGGGGCTCTCCAGGATCAAACTCCAGGCCTGCCCTTCATCTAACCTAGACCTCACCTTGCCTCACAGGGAAAACTGAGGCACGAGGGAGGGAGTGCCGTTGGGGCTGCTCTCAGAGGCTCTCTGGCTCAACACCAAACCTCATGGAATCCAGAGGCCCAGATCGGGGGAGATACCGTCCAGATGCCACAGCTTTTAGAGAAAAGCCTCAGTGATCCAGGCACCAGTGGATAAATCAGCCTGATTCCACCTAGCTGTCCAGTCCCCATCTGTAGAAACTGAGGCTAGAACCAGGAATGAGATGCCAGATTGTGGCTGGATCCCAGGCATGTTTGCCCAAGGATAGAGGGCTGGGCTCCCAGCTTACAGGGTCAAATTTCAAGGAGCCTGAGACTTGCCCTGCCTTGCCCAGAGGGGCAAAGCCTGAGCAAGAGAGGCCAGAAACCAAACCGGATTTGCCTTTAACCCCCTCAGGCCTCTCCATATTGTTGGGATCCCCCTGCCTTCTCCAGATACATGGGCAAAGCCTACTTCCCTGAAGCCAAAAGAGGCCCAAGGCATGCACCATATCGGAGTCTGAGAGGTACACACCCGCAGCCCAATTTCTCCAAATCTCTCTATGGGTCATGTCTCCACCTCCTCACCTTCCACTCACTGTAAGCCCCTCTAATGTAGTTCCAAGATCTGTGGTGCCATCCTGTACTAAATCGGGTAGACACTTCATGAGCCAGACCCTTCTAACCTCTCTGAGATCGTGGGCTCCTTGTTTTCCTCTTGTTGCTCTTTCTCTAGCTGCTTCCAGGTGACAATTTCTCCACATACTCTTTGTAAGTTGGATTTTGCAGAACTTACTTGGCCTGAGTGCTCTTCCCCGCTCCCATGGTTTCACTGACTGTGGTCCTGTGACTTCCAAACATCCATGTCCAGCTCCAACCAGAGCTGCAACCCCATTGGGTACGCAGCTGCCTGGAGGACATCCCCTGGGTTGCTCAGACCAGAGACATGGGCTTTATCTTCAAAGCTTCTGTTTCCCTCACCCCTCCTTCCGTCCCTCAGCCACCATCTGAGGGCTTTGTCCTTCATCCATTTTTCCCCGTCTCCACCGTCATCTCCAGGGTCATGCCTCATTACTCAGTTTCCTCTGTTCCTGGTTTCCTGAACAATACCTGATTTCATTGCCTCTGGGCCTTTTTTGCATGCTTTACAACCCCTTCACCCAGCGCAAATGCCCAGCCACAGCTGTTTCCTCCAGATAGTCTTCTCAGACCAGGGTTTAAGTCCCTCATGGGGTCTCCTATAGCCCCTGTGCTAAGGCCAGACATTATATGTTGCAACTGTCTACCTGGCCTGCTGGACCTGAGATCCTCAGGGGCAGAGAAAGTTCTCACTCACCTTTCCCCCAGCACTTAGCACAGAGTCTTAGGCAATAACTGTTTGTTGAATGAATAAGTGTTGCTTGATCTCTGCTCTGAGGTCTCTGGGCGTCTCTCATTTCAACTCCCCATCTGTCCTACAGAGCCACTCAATTTCCTTGTACACCAGGTAAGCATGGGCAAACTCTTCCCCCCTCCCCGGGCCCCCAATGCCATGAAACAGCGGCAATCATTCCTGTTAGCCTATTCCACCTTGCCCTAATTTGGGTCTGAAGCTTCCTGGTAGGGAGGAGCTTCTCCTAAGCTTTTCTACCCCAACTATGGCAGCCAGGCTGCTCCTGAGACCAGGACTCAGCATTTGGGGAGACTTCTGCACTCTATCTGAATGGGAAAAGTGTGCAACAGAGTCTGGGCCCAGCAATCTCCCATTTCCCAGCTTGGGCTCTGCTGTGGTTGTGACCCCCTCCCATAGGGAGGCCCGAACAGCCCACAACTCCCATACTTACAAAGATGAGGAAATTGAAGAGGATCATCATGGTCTTAAGGAAGCTGAAACACTGCATGGTGGCTCCTGGGAGGCAGACAAGTGGGAGTTAGGGATTCCTGCTGCCCACCTCTGCTACTACCTGGGCCGGCCCTTGCACTGGGAACCTGCCATACCAGATTCCAGCATCCAGGACCCCTAAATCACCCTGTTTCTCCTACATCTAGCCTCTGACCCCTCAGGGCTTCTCCAAAGTCCTATCCCGACACCCCTGCCTCTCTATAGGGCCCAGGTCCTCTCCCAGCACCCGACACTGGGATACTGATCCCCCAGCTCTCTCCACAGGCACCCCAAGCCCAACTCCCACACCATAGGTCACTCCACGCCCTTCCCTTGCCCTAATATATCCTGGACCCCTCCATCAAACCAATCCTAGGCTCTCAGGACCCTCCACCATTGGCCTTCCAGTTTCCCAAACCCATTTCCAGGTTGATTTTACTTCATAGGATGATCTCAATCCTGTGCTATCACCTGTTCAGGGCTCTTGGTAGTTCAGAAGGAAGGCTCTGCTGAGGCTCCAGAGGGGACAGACTACGCAAGGGATTTGCCACTCCAGTGAGCAGGCAGTGAGACGGGGCTGGCTCTCCCGCTCCACCGCTCACCTGCAGGCGGGGCAGCCTTTTTAAAGTCCTGGGCTCACCTTCCCGCCCGCCCAACCCCACAGCCAGCCAACCTCTTCCTTCCCTGCTGCCCCCTGCTGCTTGGAGATCTGTCCCCATAGCCACCGGAGCCGCAGGCCTCGTCGTCGTCGGCCTGGCAACGCCAACCACAGGAACACCCTTCCTGATCCGAAGGAGGAAGAGAAGTGGGAGGGTAAACAAGTGGCCTCCAGAACCTCGAACCTCGCGTGCCCTCGACCACAGAGGCTCTGGCCTGCGGATCCATTCCTCCATACCCTGTGCGCTCCCGGGCCCACTCAATCTGCCCAAGCAGCCGCTATGGAGGCACCCACAGATCCACACACAAACACCTAGCCGTGCCCATGAGTGCCCATGAGTGCCTATGAGTGCACACGCACTCTGTGCTGTGTGTGCACTGACTCCCAGCAACTGAGAAACCACAAAGCAACCTCGGAGGGACATACTTAAAGTCTGTCTCACCGTCTCTACAAGGAAATGACCCAGGTTTAGCAGCTTCTACCCACTTCTCTGAGGAGCAAATGACTTCTGGTCCTTTTCCCTCTACAGAATCTCAATTTCCCCATCTTTCTCCTCCCTTCCTCTTTCCTCCTTACCCATCTCCCTCCCCAGGCTTTGCTTCCCCCCATCCAGTGCTCTTAACAATGGGCGTCCAGCACCCCTTTCCTTTCTGCCAGAAGGTGGCGCCATGATCCCACAAAAGCATCACCCCACTTGTAAGACTCAGCAGTCCCAGTGTGACCCCTTCAACGGCTTCACTTGGACCCCGCCTGTCTCTTTCCACTGCTGGTCCTCCTTTCCACTCCAGTCCTCTGGATATCGAGGTGCTGGGGAAGTTCTGGCTTTGGAGTCATTCAGACCAGGTACTTCCATGTTACTTCTGCTGTTGCTTAGCTGTGCGACCTGGGGCGGGGTTTGGGGGGGCCATGTGGATTTCTTAGGATTGATTTTAAGCTTAGGCTGATCTATATAAGAAAATAGTTATAGGGAACTTAAAGATTTTATTTATTTATTTGACAGAGAGAGCTCACAAGTAGGCAGAGAGGCAGGCAGAGAGAGGGGAAAGCAGGCTCCCGGCTGAGCAGAGAGCCTGATCTGGGCCTCAGTCCCAGGACCCTGAGATCAGTACCTGAGTGAAAGGCAGAGGTTTAACCCACTGAGCCACCCAGGCACCCTATAGGGATTTTATTTTATTTTATTTTATTTTTTTTTAAAAGATTTTATTTATTTATTTGACAGACAGAGATCACAAGTAGGCAGAGAGGCAGGCAGAGAGAGAGAGGTGGAAGCAGGTTCCCTGCTGAGCAGGGAGCCTGATGCGGGGCTCGATCCCAGGTCCCTGGGATCATGACCCGAGCTGAAGGCAGAGGCTTTAACCCACTGAGCCACCCAGGCGCCCCCTTATAGGGATTTTAAATAAGATTTTATTTTATTTTTTAAAAAGATTCTATTTATTTATTTGACAGAGAGAGATCACACTGAGCCATCCAGGCACCCCTTAAATAAGACCTTAAATAAGATTTTCTCTGGGACAAACAGGAATAACCACAGAGTGGTAAGGTCAGAGTGTGGAGAATCACAGCCAGAGGGGGTGTGAGATGGATGAAGTGGACTTTAAAAAAAAAATTTAGGGGCGCCTGGGTGGCTCAGTCATTAAGTGTTTGCCTTCGGCTCAGGTCATGATCCTGGGGTCCTCAGGTCTAGCCCTGAATTGGGCTCCCTGCTCAGCGGGGAGCCTGCTTCTCCCTCTCCCACTCCCCTTGCTTGTGTTCCTCTCTCCCAATGTCTCTATTCTGTCAAATAAATAAATAAAATCTTCAAAAAATTTTTTAAAAATGTAAATATAGTTGACACTAATTTTGGGTTTTTTTTTTTTTAAGATTTTATTTATTTATTTGACAGAGACAGTGAGAGAGGGAATACAAGTGGGGCAAAGGGAGAGGGAGAAACAGGCTTCCCCTAAGCAGGGAGCCTGATGCAGGGCTCTATCTCAGAACCCTGGGATTGTGACCTGAGCCAAAGGCAGACGCCCAATGACTGAGCCACCCAGGCACCCCTAATTTTTGTTTTCTATAATGGGAGGAAACAGCTGAAGAAACTTGAGAGAAGGGGCCAATAACACTAATATCTGTGTAGATCATATTTTAAATGCATTACATATATGGTCTTTTCCCCCCTTGTCACAACAATCCTATGAAATAGATTCTCTTCTCTCCCCTTTTTAAATATGGGGAAACATAGGCACAGGAAGGTCAAGTACTTCCCATGATCACACAGCTTGTAAGTGGCAGATCCAGGATTCACCCCTAGTTGGTCTGATGCTAGAGTCTCTACCTTAACCACCAAGCAGACTGTCTATAGTGATGGGATCTCTAAGTGAGGAGGAGCCGACTTCCAGAAAGAACAGGAGAGGAGGCCTTGGTCTGGGACTTGAGGAAGAAAATGGCCAAGGCCAAGTGGGTTTATAGGTGCAGTGGCTAGAATTTGATGGGAGCAAGGACCATTTTCTAAGACTGAGGATAGCAATAGAAGATGGAAGGGGTGTGAGGACTTTTAGGGTGGTGATGAGGACCCCAAAATCTCCTAGCAAGTTCCTACAGGAACAGAGAAGATGGAGGCTCGGAAGGAGGGCTGGAGGTGGAGTAAGAGGGAAGAGAGAGGGGGCGGATGTCCACCACTCCACAACAACTCAGTGCAAGGCCTGGCTGAGCCACTCACATTCCTGTCTGCTATAAGAAAGGGTTGACACAACTTACATTGCCCTAAGGACCTAGGTGTTCCTCCAGCTGCACTAATTCATGGCTTTCTCTTTCTCCACAGGAAGAATGGGAGCCAGGTCACCTCCATCTATGATCCCAGCGCCCAGCATATATGAAGTTGTTAGTGAACAATTCCTGAATGATTGAATGATTAAATGAGTGCAGAACAGCAAGAGTTAAATGTCTGGGCTTTGGACTGTAGCCATCAGGGATTGGAACCCCAGCCTGCCTCTAATTGTGCGACCTCACCTAACTGAACCTCAGTTTCCTTATATAGCTGATCATTATTCATGGCTTCCATATCTTCCATATCTGTGAATTGACCTACTCACTAGAATTTATTTGTAACCCCACGCCAATCCTCATGTCACTTTTGCGGTCACTCACAGACATTCACAGAGCTGCAAAAATGTTGAGCTGCCTCCTTCCCATGTTCTTAGCAGAAGCTGAATAGGAGGGTTCTCTGCCTCCTTGTTTGACCTCTTAGAATGTATACCTGTTCTTGTGGTCCATTCAGTGTCACATTTTCCCCATTTTTGTGCTTGTGGTGGTGATTTTGCTGTTTATTGAATAATGCTGAAGTGCTATCTACTGTCTCTGAGCACAAGAAGGCTGCAATGGGCCATATAGCCGATGTGACCAGAGGCTGATAGGAACGTAACCCTGTAGGAGCGTTGGCTCCATTTGCTAATGTGCTATTTGTGGTGGGGACTTTATTAGACTAGGACTACTGTGAATAATGAGAACTGACTGTATATGAAATAGGAATGATAGAGTAAGGTTGTTGTGGGATTAATGAGAGAGTGTTTATAAAGTACTGGGTGCTCTTTGGCACCACAGTAAATGCTTAAGAAACACTGTTAATATTGTCAATGTGGGTAAATGAGAAAGCCAGGAAGTAATTTTCCCCTCCTCAGAGTTCTTTTTCCCTAGGGGCCAAGCTGAGGTTTTTCTGGCCTTTGGGCTGGACCCATGGAGAGCACTGTGACCCATGGGGTGGGGTGGGGGACCAAGACCTATAAAAAAAGAGCACCGCCCTTATGTGGACTCTATGTCATAGAGGCTGCAGCTGCCCTGTCCAGGCGCACCCTCGGCACACTACAGAAGCTTCCTGTGCCCATGGGGCCTTCTCAGCCTGTCCGTGCCCCTCGGCCCCGGGGCCTAAGCTCCCCCTACCGTAGGCCAAGGCTAGGCTGGCCTCGGCCTCGATTTCCAAAGATGTTCAAGTGTAGCCGCAGAACGTACCGGCAGAAACCCCAAGGCCTAGCTGCCACCCCTGCAGCCACCAATCCTGCCAATGTGGGTACAGATATCAACAACACTCCTACCGCCACCACCAGTGTGTGGATCCTTCCGCCACAAGGTTAGCCAAGGGCCTCCTGGCAGGGTGGGAGTTGGGAAAACCAGGGCCATTCGTTTTCCCCCATCTTAGCCCTGCAGAGGCACTCTAGGGGGCATACCCTGTGTGAAATACCACCGTCAAAGTATGGTGGGGTTTCGATGGCAGACGTCCTAAAGGCTGAGAGCCTTAATAGAGGGTGTATTGTCTGAGAGAGGAGGGCCTGGGGAACTGTGACTCTAAGAACAGTGGAGCTTCCAGGACTGCTGTCTTTCTCACACTCTCCCCTCTCCTTTCTCTCCTCAGTTCTCAGACACCTCTGTCAACCTGGCAGCTTTCTGATCTTCTAGAAATGTCCAGAAACTAGTCCAGAAGCTTGGCTGGCTCTAGACCTGCATCTCCTAGGGGCCATGGGTGGTTAACAGCAGGCAAATACAATCTTTTCTGTTGCAGCTGCTTACTCCACTGTAAGGTGTTTCCAGACAACTATGCTGGGTAGGAGGGTGGGTTTGGGGCTGAATGCTCCCAGGGACAGGCTTCAGTGAGGAAAGCTGGGATCACAGTTAGACAATGGAAGGACAGGACAAGGTCAGCAATGCACACCATTTCTCAACACACACCTCAGCTTTTGGTCAGCCCCATGAGGTAGGGGGCATTTCCCCCCACTGCACAGGGAAAAGGGTTTCCACAGACATCTTGGAAGTTACAGGGAGCCAGGTCCTTGAGGAGGGAGGTAGAGGCATGGATCAGACAGGGACTGGATGAGAGATTTCAGGACTTGAGTCTAACTCCAGGAGTGCTTCAGTGTGAGCTGTATGTGGCTCTGTGGCTGTGATGGTCAGTGTGCGGATGTAGTGGGGGTGTGTGTGTATGTGAGGCCAGGACAATGGGAGTGTGAATGGATGTGTGGGTGGGTGTGCCTCCGTGCATCCAAGTGTGTTTGTTAGGGTATGCGTGTGCCGGAGGGAGGCATCCCTGAGAGGAATGAAGGTCAGGAATGGGGTGTGGGCAGCCTGAGGCAGGAGAGGGTTGCTTCTGGGGAGGGCAGGCCACCTTCAACCCCTGAGCTATTCCCTGAGGCCAGTGTGTTCCAGGACTGTCAGCTGCGCTGGGCGGTTAGGGGTGGGGCGAGACTGAGTGGAGTCCAGAAAGGGGGAGGGTGCTGAACTCAGGCCTGGGGATTTTCCATTTGGCTTTCTGAGTGTGTGACCATGTGTCATCAGGTGTAACTGGATTGCTGTGGGGTGTGTCTCCATGGCATTGTGTCTTAGTGGCGGGAAACACTGTGAGGGACTCTTCTCCAAGGTGTCACTGTATGCATGGGTGTGTGTCTGGGGCTCCCCTTCCCTGAGGGTTGGGGGTGGGAATGAAGCCTGAAAGCCGTGGCCTGGCCCCCTGGGGCTTCAAAAAGCCTGGGAGGAGAAAATGAATTGTGTCTGTGTCCTTCCATTCTAAGGCTTGCCAGACACCAGGACCCAGAGAGGCGGGACCAGGCAGAGACGTCACTGCCACATTGCACCCAGACTGCGCAGGCTGGGGGATGAGGCTCCTCGGGTGTGGGGGAAGTGGTGTTGAACCTCAGTCAAAGCAGGAAGGTGGCTGGGCTGCTGCCCAAGGCCCACCAAGGGGCCGACATGTTTAAAGACACATGTCACAGTCCATGAACATATGCAGACGTGTAAACAGAAGTAGACTCACAGACACACAATGCAACAAACACAGGTGCATGCAAGTATAGGCTTATAAACAGAGCTACACACTGCCACTAATGCACGTGGACCTCCCCAGCTGGCAGATGCACCCACACATACACGTTTATGAAAGAACATACGCTGACATAAACATGCGTGCATCTCGAACGAGCACCTAAGCATATAGACGGACACATGCAATCACACTCATACAACCCAGGCACACACAGACACACGCACACATGCAGACACACTCACCAGACTTCCCTGCCCCTGCAGCCCTGGAACCCAGAAGCTTCCCTCCCCTAGAAGTGGGTGTATGTGTGTGTGTGCGCACACACTTGTGTCTGTGTGTATCTGTGTCTCTGAAAATGTGTGTATGTGTGTGTGTGTGTGTGCGAGTGTGAAAGAGACGGGGGTGGGGGGTGGGGAATGCTGAACTGTGGGAACCTGATGACATCATCTCTTCTGGCTATTTTTAGCTCCCTCTGCAATGACGGGCTCCTCCAGGGCCCCTCCCCTTCCAGGCTCCCAGAGGCAGCACAGCCAGAGGGCACCCACCACTCCAGTCTAGGTGACCCCTGGATGACTGGGTACTGGTCACTCGTTCCCACCCCACCAGAGCTCCTTGGGGGTTGAGAACACCAGAGGAAGAGGCTTGGGCCATGTGGCAGCCTGGAGCAGGGGCCTGGGTTAGGTGAGCAGACCTGGCTGGTCTCCAGCACCTAGGGTTCCTCCGCTTCTGCTTTTCAATCTGAAACTCGGTCTCAGTCAGTAGTGCCTGCCACCTAGGGAGGGTGCCAAGTTCTGGAGATAGAGCAGTGTGCAAGACAGCAGGAGTTCTTCCTGGGGGGTGTTACAGCTCAGTGGGAGACAGACATGAGACAGATTACACAGGTACTGCACCGGGCTGTGGCAAGGACTCCAAACATTGGTGGCAAGGGGACTTAGTCTGGGATGATGTTCTCTGTCTCTTTCTAGCTCCTGGAGATAACCTGAGGGAACAAGAGGGGCACCCTCCCTAACCTTGCACCTTCCATCCTGACAACCACACTCTAGAATTCCATAGAGCAGAGCTTCCTCCTCGTACCCCAGGAAGTGCTCCCAACATCACCCCAAACCAGCATCCAAGTGGTGCCCCCCCACCCACAATTCATGGTGTGGTTCTTTGGAACCTTCCACGAGTGATCCTTAGGAGCCTGTCCTGAGTCCTCCATCTGTAGATGAGAGGGGCAGGGCTGGCCCACACCTCCTAAGGCCGGAGCAGCAACATGAGGTGAGAGGCTGAAGGAGGAAGAAGCGCTAGAGGCACAGATGTGGGAAGAGCGAGGGGTGGGGTCAGGAGGGGAGGACAGTGGCCTGAAGGGTCCTTGCCCAGAGAAGGCTTCCTGCTCCAGCCCACCTCTGGGCAGCCACCGGAAAATCGGGTTTGGCAGCTATGGCCAAGAGCCCAGGGGCTGGAGGAGGGGTCCAGACAGCTCCTGGGAGGCTGTCTAGGGGCGGGCTCATCTTCCAACCCAGAGTCCAGTCAGGCCCCAGGCTGAGCAGTCCTGTTGGGGTAGCATTTTGTAATACTGGGACCCTTTGGAGTGTGGGGGGAATAGGTCTGAGCTGCAGGCAGGATCCCAGAATTCCAGTCCTTGTCTACCCCAAACCCGTGTGATCCGTGGAAAGTCCTGCCCCTTTTCCAGAAAGGAGTGCAAGAAGGCCAGTTTCCCCATCCCCAATTTCTGCCCTCTGGGTTTTCCTGGGAGTCTGACTCAGACAAAGAAACACAAAGTTTGTGTTTGGGACAATGGGTAAGGACTGGAACGACCGCCCCCAGGGCGCCAGGCTGGAGGTCCCTTGTCACCAGTGGGTCAATGACAGGAAGCCTAGCTCCAACCCTACAATGCTATATAGGTCACCCCACCCTTACCAGTACCCTCACCCACACCCCTACTTCCGTCCTCTGTTCCTTCCTCACCTTCAGAGAAAGCTCCCGGGCTCCCTGGGGAATCTCCCATACCTACTTTGCTGGCTCCTTGCCCTGTGCTCAACCCTCCCTCCCCCTCTGCCCACTTGACCAGGCCAGTCTCCCAGTTAACTTTCTGGCCCTGGATCCTGGGGCAGGCCTGGGAGGAAAGGAAGCTGGGTGGAAGGC